TGTGATCAGAGGGAACAAGTTAGAGGCTCAATGTGAACTTTATACAAAAAGCTTGCTTTATAAGAATGGCAATGTTAACTTTGTGTCATTAATGGAAATGCAACTTGGATAATAGCTCAATTGCTTGGATCAAATCTCTAACAGTTGTGTAAACATTTAATTATGGAGTGAAAAACAATTTTGAGGCCTGAAAATCAAGGATTATGCAGCCTAGCATGAATTTGGTTCATGTGTTCATCAAAAATGACTTGTAATTCAAGTGACAAAATCCTAACTTCATCTCTTCGATTCTCCCTACTCAAGAATGATCTGAAGGAGTTCTTGGATATTTTGGAAAGCTTGAAATGTGATCTAAAACCAATGTTTGAATTTATTTTTAAGATTCCACTTGTAACTATATGAAAAAGTGCCATGAAGTTAGGTCAAAATCCTGACCAAATTAGGGCAAAATTTCACTAAGTGTTTAGTTTCATGACCCTATGTTCTTAAAATTATAACTTGAGATCAAAGCACTTTCTGAGGAAGTTGTGTGAAGCAAAGTTGTAGATTTCTTGGAGATATACAACTTTCATTTTGGAAGTTTCTCTTGAATCATATTGCATCATGGTGAAAATTTTGCTCAAAGTTACGAAAAAACATGAATTTTCCAACACTTAGAAAAATTTCTAAGTTTAGAAATTTTGACTTTTCAAAATGAAATCTTGAAATTTTGATTTCTTGATGAATAAGTTTCATATTTTGACATGTTTTGATGAATTATGATCTTTGGCACTTGAATTTGACCAAAAAGTCAAAGTTTGACTTTTCAGTATACAGTTGACTTTTGATCAGTTGACTGCAAAATTCATCTGTCAATCTAATGGACTTGCAATGTTTTGAACCATTTCATTAGGTCAAAATGATGCAATTGGACTCTTGAGATCATTCCTTAAATCAAATGACCATTTGCTAGGTCAAAAATCAGAAATTGCCATTTCCCAATTAAAACCCTAATTTTGACCATTTTGCCCTTTTGGGGTTTTGATCAAATTTCTTGAGGAATTGTGGTCCAAACTTGATCAAATGATACATATGAGTCTAAAATGTTGATGTGGATCAAAAGTTATGAATTTTGACTGTAAATTGGTCATAGTTGACTCTTTCTCCAATACAATTGATTTTTAGGTCAACTACTCAATTGATTGAGAAAAAAATGTGATTCAAGGCTTGAAACTTGACATGAGTAATCTTGGGGGTCCATAATAATCCATGAAATTCATATGAGGCATTGAAAGTTCAAATGTCCTTGTGCAAACTCAAACCCTAATTTTTGGTCATTAGTGCATAAGGAGGTGTCTTGAGCTGATCAAACCCTAATGCAGTCTTGAGTCAAGGAGATCTTGTGAGCAAAATTCTTGATAAGTGAGAGGGCAAATTTTGGGGTACAACACCTTCCTTGTTGGTGCTTCCCTTTTTCTTTCTTTTCGTAGAACCTTTTCAATCTTCCTGATGAGATCATCATTTTCACTACTAGTTGATTCATCCTCTTGATTGCTATCATGATTTTTTATCCTTGTATTTAAAGCAATGTCTTTAGAATCTTTTACTTGGATTTCATTATTTTCAAGTCTTGCAAGTTCTGTCTCATATTCTTGAAGCTTTCCAAACAACGTTGCAGAAGTCATTGAAGAAAGACTTTTCTTTTCCAAAATTGTCGTTACCTTTGGTTGCCATTCCCTAGTTAAGGATCTAAGTACTTTCAGATTTAGTTCATCATTCGTCAAAGTCTTACCAAGATCACTTAGATGATTTTTCAAGTGCACGAATCTCTTTTTCAAGTCAATGATGGTTTCTTCGGGATGTATTTGAAATAACTCGTATTCTTGACTCAAAGTATTTAGTCTTGATCTTTTAACTTCAATAGTTCCTTCATGAGTTTGTACCAAGGTATCCCATATTTCTTTCACCGTTTTGCATGCCGAGACACGGAAGAATTCATCAATGCTAAGTGCGCCTTGAAGAAGATTGATTGCCTTTTTATCATAGAGGGCCTTTTTCTTATCATCTTCATCCCATGCAGTTTTAGGCTTTGATGAGCCATCACCATTAATCACGGTTATAGGAATAAATGGACCATTCTCGACGGTATCCCATATTTCTTCTCCTTGTGCTTCTAGATGTGCCTTCATGCGTATTTTCTAGAAGTCGAAATATTCACCATAAAATAGAGAAGGCTTGTTGTTACTACCACCATCTCTGAAAACGGGATTTTGATTTACAGAAGCCATTCTGGATCTTTTAGGAACATGTTACCTATAACCTGCTCTGATACCAATTGTAAGTATAAGAGTGCGCCTAAGAGGAGGGTGAATTAGGTACTTTAATATTTTTCTAGTTTTAGTGATGATGAATATTATTTTTCTGGTTTAGTGCATGAGTTTACAAATGTGTTTCTTTCTTTTCTTGTTTATGATTAGTGATGAAAGCGGTAAATGCGGAAAAGTAAAGAACACAAAGATGTATCCTGGTTCCCCTCACAGTCCGAGAGTACTCCAGTCCCCTTTCAACATGAAAGATATTTCCTTATTGTTAGATCTCTAGACAAGACACCCTAGTCCTTCTATACAAGACTCTAACCAATAAAATCACCAAGAACAATCATCTTAGACCAAGAACAATCCTCTTGGATATTCACTATGTCAACAATGAGAACAATCCTCTCAAGGTGACCTTACTTGTATCCAACAATCCTGGAAAAATAAGATTACAAAACCACTTGAACTTATTTTCAACAATCCTGAAAAATAAGAAAGTGTATAGCAATATTTGATTGATAGAGTTTGTAGTGCAATAATCACTTTGAGTGATTTTATCAATGACTTGATCTTCTCTTCCAATAACAATAATACAATGACTCAAGACTATAGAATGCTCAAAGTTTTCTGTTTAACAATATATGAAAATGTGCAGAAAAACTTTGTGTATGAAAGTGAAGAAAAAGCTTGAGTTTTTATATTTTAAAATTCAGAAACTATTGATTGGAAGAGGTTCAAAATGATTTTGAAAATTCAGTATTTATATGTTCATAGCACCTCTTTGAAACAGCATAAATTTTTGCAAATGAATCATGAATAATTGCCAGGATTCAATGAAAAGTTTCCATGAAATGGTTTTATGAAAAGGTATGTTCAAAGCTGCTGATTTTCAAAAACGTTCAACATGCAATCAATTGCACCCTTGTGTAAATCGATTGCACGGGTTTTAACAGCTAAAAAATTCAAATATTTTCAGTGAGCAATCGATTGCACATGTGTGTAAATCGATTGCACTTTAAAACAGTAGCAAAATTTGATAGAGAGCAATCGATTACACAAACATGTAAATCGATTGCACTTAGAAACAGTAGCTAACATTTTGAAAACGTGAAACATGTAATTGATTGCACCAATATGCAATCGATTGCACATAAGTAAAAAATAATTTTTTGCTTAGAAAACTTGAGAAAAAGTTTGGACAAGATAAAATATTTCTTTTGACCATTGAGCATCTATGTCTTAAGTCCAAAGTAAGTATTATTATTATACCTTGAAATTTGCTAAGTGCTTGAACCAAAGACTTTTATCCATTGATGCTTTTAGCTTGATCAACATCTTTGCCTTCTTGCCAATATAGTTTGTCTTCATCAAAACAAAGTGCATTGAGAATCATTTGAGAAGCTTGATATTACATATCTTTCCCTTCCTGTGGGATAAAAGACGTTTGATGGCGACTTCATTATTTGATGATTTTCAGCTGGTTGTTTCATCGGAGAGAGAAATGGAACTGAGATATGAAAGTGGTAGTAATAGTAGTGTAATGAAAAGAAGTGGAAAAGGTTATTACACGGTCCAGGTTGTTTTACCAGGGTAAAGGATTGCTTCCTTTGAATTTTGAAAAAATGAGTGACACTTGGCCTATTGCAAAAATATGATTGGATAGTACAAATGTATTTAGTGTATTACAAAAAAAAAAGCTTTACTTAGTGAAAAAAATTCTAATAAAAGGATAAAAATGAAAGTGCCTAAACATCTTTCATTCTTAGTTAGGTATTCCATCCGGTCTTATTTATATGTAAAAGTATTAAAAAAAATTGACCTTAGTTTTAAGCAAATAAGTCTATATACATTTAATGTTTGTATTCCAAAATTATTCATGCATTAATTGTTTATGCATTAATTGTTTAATATTTTTAATAGATAACAATTAGTAATTATGTTATCCTTCTTACATGAAATAAAAAAAAATTAAATGCACTCAAATATTTTTCTTAATAAAGATGGAAAAAAAAATTCTTCTTATAAAACATGGGGGAGTAGTAGTAGATTTAATATGCAAGATATTATATTGCTGTTCCCCATTTTCTTAATAAGCCGCACACATGTGGTTGAGCCTTCAAGTTACTACACTATAAAACACATTCAATGGAGAGAGACCAATGCAATATTTCAATGTACTCTACACAACTCCTAAATACCAAACATTCTCTTCTCTCCCATTTCCCTTCTTTTTTCATTTCCTCTCTTTAACATTTCCTTTATTTCTCTTCTCCTTCTTTTTCTAAATGTCTTGTTCTTCTGCTTCTCTTTTCATTTCTCTACACAAACAGAACATTTTTTGACTTTTCACACAAGTCTTGTTTTGTCACAAACCTTCTTTATTTCCATTTCAGAACAAACATACTTAGCCTTATGAAAAGCTAACAAAAATTGTTTGTTATTTTTGAGATCTAGCTATGGTTTTTGTTCTCTCTCTAGAGTAACTCGCATTGTTTTGCGTGGACCAGAAGCAAAACATAACAAAACAAAAACAAAAACAAAAATATTCATGTTTCTTTACCAAAGTTGATTCCTTTAAACCCTTTTGGATCTAGTAGTGTTTGTTTGTTGTCATATACCATTGTTCACATCTTTGTCTTGTTGAGTTCTTGTCATTCTTCTCTTTTGTTTTTTTGTGATCAAAACTACTACTATAGTACTATTCAAATGGATCGTTTTTCTTCTACTACTACTACTATACCTTTTGCTTTTCATGGAGCTAAAGATGACATCACCATGCAATTTTCTTTGATTTGGACTCAAATCAAAGCACCATTGATAGTTCCATTGCTAAGAATATCAGTGTTTTTGTGTTTGATAATGTCAGTGATGATGGTTATTGAGAGGGTTTATATGGGTATTGTCATTAGTCTTGTGAAACTATTTGGAAGAAAACCTGAAAAACGTTACAAATGGGAACCTATTAAGGATGATATTGAGTTGGGAAACTCTTGTTATCCGATGGTTCTTGTTCAAATCCCTATGTATAATGAAAGAGAGGTACTTTATTACTTTAATGTAATTTAACTTTGTTAAACATGATAATTAAGCACTTTCAAAGCTTGATATTATTATAATTTTTCTCTTAATATAGGTCTATCAATTGTCAATTGGAGCTGCATGTGGCCTTTCTTGGCCCTCTGATAGGATCATTATACAAGTTCTTGATGACTCCACTGACCCAACAATCAAGGTAACCGCTAAAAGAAATAGGGAGTCTTTTTAAATTTTTGGGATGCAGTTTAACTATGACAAATTGTAGATTTTATTTAACTGTGACAAATATGTTATGAATCATATTTAGTCGTGACAAATTTCAAAATCGTGAGTGATAGTCTGTTTTGCGCGATTTCAAAGATGACTCTGGTGAATTGTTATCAATGATGTGGCACTGGCAATTGATTTTGATATTTGTGGTAACAAAAAAAATGATGTAGGAGTTGGTGCGAGTAGAATGTCAAAGATGGGCAAACAAAGGTGTGAACATAAAGTATGAAGTTAGAGACAATAGAAATGGATACAAAGCAGGGGCATTGAAAGAAGGAATGAAACATAGCTATGTGAAACAATGTGATTTTGTTGCAATATTTGATGCTGATTTTCAACCAGAGTCTAATTTCTTGTGGCGCACAGTGCCATTTTTGGTGCATAATCCTGAACTTGCCCTTATTCAAGCTCGTTGGAAATTCGGTATAATTTTCTTTCTTTTTCTATTAAATTTCAACAACAACAAACAAAACATTATACTAATTAGATTTTGTGTTCTCTTAATTGCGGTTTCATTTGACATAATCTTAGTATGATGTCTTAATTAGATAATGATTTCTTAAAACGTAGTATAAAACTGTCGGTGGGTTAATGTGGGTCCACTTTGTGGTTGAACTACTATTCTTCAAAAAGTTGCAAAATAAACAACATCACAATGTATGGTAGTAGCTTTCGTGGTTGCCTTGTATTGAAGCCACATAATACTACTAGTATGTTTTTTTTTAATAGCAATTAAAGTTTTTCTGTTTTGAGGACAGGTTGTAATGAAAAGTTGTGAATGAACTGAACTAATTGGTGTGGCTAACTATGAGGGCATGATAAAATAATAATAATGGTTTTCACGTACTATAAATGATTCATTTATAGCAAAATATTTTTGGCTGTGTAATTGTGTGGCCGAAAAGTTAGATCAAAACTATACCAATATCACGAAAATAGATAATTATTTTCAACAATGAAATAATGTCATAAAAAAAATGAAAATAATAATATTTTAGAAAATGTGATATCTGGGTTATAATGCTAAAGAAATTGAAGAATTTGTGTGGGTCCAACCATTATTATTGTTGATTTCTGGAGGGCAATACTTAAAACATGCATGTACAGTATACTATTTGAAAGGGCAATTATGTCTTAGTACTACACCACCACCACAACAACAACAACACAGTTGTTGGTATTATTATGGTTGTTGTTGTTGTCATCATTGTTGTTATAGTGCTTCTTCACCCTTTACTACTCTTCTGCTAACACCAACAATTGCACATGTCAATTTAATGCTTGTCTCATTTCACTCTTCTATCTATTTATCTCTAATAACCAATGTAGTTAGTTACATTAATAAATTTCAATCTACCAAGAATGTTAAATATATGCAATTTTTTTTATTTTGTTATTTCAGTGAATGCAGATGAATGTTTAATGACCAGAATGCAAGAGATGTCACTAGATTACCATTTTACCGTAGAACAAGAAGTGGGCTCTTCCACTTATGCCTTTTTTGGCTTCAATGGTAAAAATATATGATGTCAAATATTTACTTCTGATGAAAGACGTGTCTGGTGTCTGTCATATATGTCTGGATGCATCATAGAAACTACATCAGTTTCTAATACTGTTGTGAATTGCAATAGGGACTGCGGGAGTATGGAGAATTTCAGCAATGAGTGAAGCTGGTGGATGGAAGGATAGAACAACAGTTGAAGACATGGACTTGGCTGTTCGAGCTAGTCTCAAAGGATGGAAATTCTTATACTTATCAAATCTGCAGGTCAAAAATGAATTGCCAAGTACTTTCAAAGCCTACCGTTACCAGCAGCATCGTTGGTCATGTGGACCAGCAAATCTTTTCAGAAAAATGGTCATGGAGATTATTAAAAATAAGGTAAGCACCTGACATCTCTGAAAAAAGACGTCTGATACTTGTTATTATGTTTAATTTATTCATTTTTTCAATTCATAACTGTTATGCTCCTTATTGCAGAAAGTGTCATTATGGAAGAAGATACATGTGATTTACAGCTTCTTCTTTGTTAGGAAAGTTGTAGCACACATCAATACGTTTGTGTTTTATTGCATTATACTACCTGCAACAGTTTTGGTACCTGAAGTCGTGGTTCCGAAATGGGGTGCTGTATATATCCCTTCAATTATCACCCTTCTCAATGCTGTTGGAACTCCAAGGTGTTTATTTCTCTAAAATTTTCATCTAGACACTTGTTTAGCCGAAGTTTCATGTGAATACAAGGAAACTTGCTTAGCAAGTAACTCTTTATTGACTTGAATTTGGTTTGTTTGTTTATGTTAGGTCACTCCATTTACTTGTATTTTGGATTCTGTTTGAGAATGTGATGTCTCTACATCGAACGAAAGCAACTATTGTTGGTCTTTTGGAGACTAGTCGAGTGAATGAATGGATTGTCACTGAGAAGCTCGGAGACGCTCTCAAGGTTAAAGCAGGTACAAAAGCACTCAAGAAGCCCCGGTTCAGAATCGAAGACAGGTATAAATCTTTATAATGCCGTCAATTATTTAATAGTATTCAATATGTTTTTAAGATGTGGTTCATGAACTGCACCGAAGCAAATCAAATCTCAAAAACTTTGATAACATTTTCTTATACACACTTACATTAAATGATTTGTTTTACATCTTTGTTCTCAAACTTCAAATAGGATTCACTTGTTAGAACTTGGTGTTGGAATGTATCTCCTCTTTATCGGCTGCTACGATGTTATGTTCGGGAAAAACCATTTCTTCATCTTTCTCTTTATCCAAGCGATCGCCTTTTTCATCATGGCATTTGGGTATGTTGGAACCTTCATTCCCAACTCCTAGAAGGACTTAGTAACAATTTCATCAGTCAATCACGTTGTAATATATTGTGTTTTCAGCATTGTTAGTTTAAAGGAAACGGTTGTTATTCTTTGAGGTTTTGCATAAGGGTGAGTGACTCTTGAAGAGTTTAGTTTTCTTGTGAATATTCAACAAAAACATAAAGAAATTATATTAAGTCCTTCTCATGGAAGGTAAGTCCTCAGAATAAGAACAAGGCAGCAATCTACTGACATCAATCCTCAGGGAAGCGATAATGTTTTATTGGATGGATTGTTTATAAGATTTTGTAGTTCATTGTCATTCCATTATTTTTTTTTAAAGTTGTATTTGTTGGAAGAAATAAGCAGCTTCAGAAAATTGAAAAAATACATTAAGTTCCATTTTGCATAACATTTTTCTACGTCTCCTCTATGTTTTGTAGTAATACAGTGATAATATCAATAATATTGAGCTTGCTTTTTCATTGATAGATGACAAACTTATATACAAAAGAGATGTCTTGGCTCACACGGTACCAAAGCCTGATAATTGAGGCACAAGTTAAAACAGAAAAGTAATTGTCATAACTAATTATAACGACTATATTTTACATGAAGCTATACACTAAGTCAATAATACCCTCCTCAAGCCGGAGAGTAGGTAACTAATATTCTCAGTTTGGATAGAAGTAGACCGAAAGGTTAAGGGTCCAAAGGTTTTGTGAGATTGTCAGCGAACTATGTTGAGCTTAATATAGGTAGCAATTGAAATTTCTTAGCATTTAATTTTCGTCTAACCACATGACAATTTTTTTCAATGTGTTTAGTTCATTTATGAAATATAGCATTGGCTGCAATGTGGCGCGTATATTGAGTGTCACAATATAAAATTGTTTGTGAAACATTTGTAATATTGTGAAACATTTGTAATATTAGAAGTTGAAACCATCTACTTAGTTTCTGATTAGGGGTGGCAAACGGATATGTCCGCCCTGTTTTAGTCTGTCCCGCAAAAACAGGGTGGGACGGGGTGGGGAGGATATATTTAAGGGTGCATATCTAAAATCTAGACATGTCCCACACTAAAGTGCGAGCGGGGTGGGCGGACCTGCAAGCACTGCACCTTTTAGGCATAAAATTGCATAAAATTATGTTAATGCACATGACCGCAAAAGTCTGGAAAAAATGGGGCGGACAGGGCGAACACATTCGAGGGTGAGGGACTAAACCCTTAGCCCTAGCCCGTTTTGCCCCCTACTTCTGATGATGGTTGTCATACCCCAAATTTGTCCTACCCTTTCATCCAAGTCATATGGCTTATGCATCTCAATTCTCATATGCACTACCTCTCCATTAGGTCATTTTACACATCATGCATCATTAATCAATAAGAGTTTGGCATGAGATCAAGGATCTTGAAGAGTTAGGGTTCTCTATTTCTTTGAGGCTCTCATCTACATTCAACATTGATTCAATTGGTTTCTTCAACAATCGTGGTTTGAAGCTAAGGTTTTGTGTTCATGGTCATTGTGAACTTCTTTTTCTTCAAGCTACAAGTTTTTCCTCTATCAAGATTCATCAATGGCAAGTGCATTAGGGTTTTCACTTGTTGTGCTTGGGATTTTGAGCTAAAGTTTTGGTTTTTTTCAACATCTCAAACCACTTTCTTCATCAATGTGCATCTAAAGGAGATTTAGGGTTGTTGTTCATTGCTTGAGCTTGTTGATGTTCATCAGTTGGAGATTAGGATTGGGGTTTCATGGCAAGGCTATATTTTTCATTTTTCTGTATTAATTTTCAAGGATTCCTCAAAGGAATTATTTTTGTGTTGCTCATCAAGTCAAGATATCTTTGTGGATTGAATTGCAAAGAATTGGACCATGGTACAAGAAATAAGGTGAGGATTCTTTTTTATCAAGGAAATTTTTGTTCTCATCAAATACTTGTTGCTTATAATGCAAGTGAATTTGGATTTGAGATTGAAGTTAGGGGTTCATTAAGAATGCAAGTTTATTTGGATTTGTTCATTGAGAATTTTAAGTTGATTTGAGTTCAAGATTAATCAAGTGGCATCAAAGATCTTAATCACATGTTTGTTCTTAATGTCAAAACTAAGGTTGGAAGGTTCATGTATATGGATTTCTTGGAAGTTAAGGTACAAGTCACAAGTGCAAAGTGCAAAGGTTGTAAGGCAGTGTTTCAATATAATTTCAAGCTCATTCATCAAAATTCAGACTACATGCTATTCATTCATCATGGTGCAAGTTTTTCCATTTTCAAGATCATTCATCATCATTATTCAAGTTCATTTACTAAATGTCTATTTACATTCATACCATAATTTTATACATCATCAAATCCATACATGAACAAAAAAACCAATTCAAATCGCCTTGTTGCATTTATGCTCAAAAACATGTCCAAAAAGATTTCCTTTAAAAGCAGTTACAAACTTCAATAAAAGTGATATGGACTGGGCCATGGCACGACCCAATCTTGCCCATTGCATCTGCAGCGGCCCATATGATGGCCCAATCCTCTGGGGTCTAAGCTGAAGATGTGTCATCTACATGCTTCTCACCCGAGGACACATCATTAACATGCTCTGCACTCTTCGGAGCTGTTACGCCCCTCGTAACGGACGTGGTCAGTCCACTACCCGCGAAATGCATGGAGCACTTGACCAAGGATGATGGGCACTTGTTGTTCATCCTCACTACCACATGATAATTCTGGAACCCATCCATTATGGGCCTGGATACTGAGCCCATAATGGAGGTCATTGGCTCAGCGTTGGGGGATCTATAAATACTCTCCTATGCAGGAGAGTAAGGTATCTAATTCACAACTCTCATACTCACTTACCTCTCACTCTTTCTAACTTTATCATCAGAGTATCTTGCAGGTAATCCCCCCCTTCTGAGGAGAATCCATACTGATAGACAATTGGACCGGCCACACACACATCTCCTTCTGATACTGGTACGAACAGTGGCGCCGTCTGTGGGAATTATTGTTTCCCCATCTTCTTCCATTCTAAAACAAAAGATCAAAATAAAGGATCAAAACAAAGAACTAAAAACCGATCATGGCTGGTCCCAATGACAAGAATGTCACTCTGGACATCGTCCTCTCCTCTGCTCGGAACAATGATGATAACAACATCATCCCTGAGCTAGAGGACATCACCCCAACGAAGAGTGACAGACACACTGCTTTCCCTTTTTTCGGGAACAACCAGGAAGATCTCGTGTTGTACGTCAAAATGTGCAAGAATCAAGAGACTCGGGAGCCAGCGTCGGATGCATTTCAACCGATTATGGTGCCCTACAATAATGATCTGACAATGGTGGATCTTTTCGCAGCGATCAACCAGACGAACTCGCTTATCCACCTTCAGAATCAAATGACCTGAGTGCTAAAGAGGGATCGTTGTTCATTTTCTCTCCCGCAGAGACACTAGCGACGTAAATCCCGGAGTACGTCCCCGAGACGACCAGGTCACCTCCCGCCACTAGAGAGGCAACAACCCTTGGCCACTAAGAAACGTGATCGGACCCCTCCCCGCGAGGACTGACGTTCCCTAGTCACCAAGAAAAATTGGCATTCACCTCCCCGCAGACCAAAAGCTCGTTCACAGAACTCGCCTCCATGATGCATAGGTAGCCCCATATGGGGGATACATAAACAGTCTCCACCTCCATCACCAATTTGGAGCGACGGAGATGGGCTTAAAAGACCATTGTCCCAAGAAATTATGGATGAACCCATCCTTGTTGGGATGGAAAAACCACTAAATATGGGGACATACGACGGAACAACTGATCCAGATGACCACCTCGAGAATATTGATGTTTTCCTCGACTATCTTTGTGTCAGCGGTGCCATCAGATGTAAATTGTTCCCTACCACTCTACGAAAGGGTGCCATGGCATGGTATAAAATTCTCGCAGAAGATTCCATCACTTCTTGGACAGACCTAAGGAAGCAATTCTCAAGAAACTTTATTGCTTCTCGACGACATCCTAAGACAGAAGCGACGCTCGAGGCAATAGTCCATGAAAAAGATGAACTTCTCCGAGTCTACATCGAGAGATTCAACCGAGAAGTCGTTCAAGTCTCCGTGATCGAAGATATGAAGAAGTACTTTCTCGAGCGGGGCCTGTGCACCCGTAGTGACTTCGCAAAAGCAGTTGGCATCGAGACGTCTGCTTCGCTACAGGTCTCCTCTTCAAGGCCCAAGCTTACATCCGGACGAGGAAAGGAGGCCGCCAACACTGCTCGGGATTCACGGCGCCAGAAGAACGCCCGAGTTTCGAGGCAAGATGACCTGATACCTCAATGAGGAGAGGAGAAAATAAATAAGGACAAGCCCTATGAGCCTCGAGAACACAAAGGACCCGCTGGCCGCTTCTCCGATTACATCTGATGATTTCCTCTCACGAGCACATTTTGTCTGAGTGCATGAACTCAAAATTTTTCCAGGCCAGAGTTCACTTCCTAAAACAAATGCTCCCAAAGCCTAACATGGACAAGACTAAGTAATTTTGTTTCCACAAAAGCCAAGGGAACATTACCAAGGCTTACATCCACCTCAGGGATGCATTTAAGATCCTCATCAAAGACAGGCATCTGAAGTAGTACCAGAAAAGGGAAGCCCCTCGACAAGAGGCCCGAGAAGCAAAGAGGTTCAAGGAGGAAATTTCATCCTCTAACGACGCCAATCTATAGATCTCCATGAGCGTTTCTCGACCAGAGGACTTCTTCGTCCCTAAGGAGTACAACTTCCCCTCTACACCGCCGCACACAGCCCTTGGGAGTCCTTCCCCTCCACCATGGTCATATCTGGCGGGGGATTTAAAAACTTCGTTGTAGGCTCGGTGAAACAGAAGTTTGAGAAACTTATTGATGCAAGATCGAGCCATAATGCTACCCTTGAGAAGTGTCGGGGAAGCTCAAACCTCATCACATTCTATCGAAATAAGTTTCCAAATAACTCTCCCAACTCCAGCATCCCTCTGC